TTGAGTGACATCTTCTTGTGGTATTTCTTGATTCTTTGAAATCTCTTCTTGTTGTTGTGGAGAACCTACTATATCATCATCATCATTCATAATAATATTATCCTCTTTCGAGGGGTTAGTCTCATCAAACGAAACATGAATGGATTCTTCAATAGTAAGTGTTCACTTATTAAAAATTCTAAATGCTTTACTATAAAGAGAGTAACCAAGAAATATACCTTCGTCGGATTTCTCATCAAACTTACCGAGATTATCTTTGTTGTTGTTGAGAACAAAGCATTTGCATCCGAATATGTGGAAGAATGCTATATTCGGTTTTCTTCCCTTGAACAACTCATACGGAGTCCTTTTGAGGAGTGGTCAAATATTGACACGGTTGCTTACGAAGCATGTTGTACTAACTGCATCTGCCCAAAAATATTTAGGAAGATTTGCATCGCTGAGCATTGTCCTTGCAAGCTCTACCAGTGATCTATTCTTTCGTTCTACGACACCGTTTTGTTGAGGCGTCCTTGGTGCTGAAAAATTATGAGAAATTCCATACTCTTCGCAAAATTCTTCAAAGCCTGAATTTTGGAATTCTCCACCGTGATCGCTTCTTATAGAGGCTATGGTGAGTGATTTCTCATTCTTAATTTGCTTTGCATATTTCTTGAATGCTTTAAAAGCATCACTTTTCTGCACTAAAAACAATGTCCAAGTGTATCGAGAGAAATCATCAACAATAACTAAGGCGTAGAAATTACCTCCGAAGCTTTTTGTTCTCGATGGACCGAAAAGATCCATATGCAACAATTGAAGTGGTCTTGATGTAGAAACCACTTGCTTGGATTTGAAAGTTGTCTTGGTCTGTTTTCCCTTTTGACATGCATCGCATAACTTATCCTTGATGAATTTTATCTTCGGAAGACCAACAACTAGATTATGCTTTATCAACTTGTTTAAATGCTCCATGTGAACGTGAGCAAACCTTTTATGCCAAAGCCATGCCTCGTTGTTTTTCGCCATAAGACACTTTACCTTCAAGGAAGAGTCATCAAAAGAAATCATAAAAATGTTATTATATCTTTTACCTTTTAACAAAATGTCATAAGTGACTTCATGTTCTATCAAGCATTCCTCCTTTGTGAAGTTGATTCGGAACCCTTTGTCACACAATTGACTTATGCTAAGTAGGTTGTGTTTAAGGCCTTCCACATAAAGAACGTCTTCGATGATTGTACATGGAGGTGCACCAATGGTTCCAACTCCAAGAATTTTTCCCTTATTATCATCACTGTAAGTGACGTATCCTTTGGCCTTTAATGATAGACTTGAAAATTTGTTTATGTCTCCCGTCATATGCTTCGAGCAACCACTATCAAGATACCATTGATTTGTGGTTGTCTTCAAACATACCTACAAAACAAAATTAGGTAGAGTTAGGTACCCAAATTGATTTGGGTCCTTGATAGTTAGTACCCTTTTCAACCCACACATAATGCCCCTTTGCAACACCAATATTACGTACATAGTAGGCATTAGGTGTGTGCCCTTTAATTCCACAGTAAAAACACGTAGGTTGAAAATGACTTCTATACCTAGGAATATAATTCTTTTTCTTATCAATTCTTTTCTTGTTATGATTTTGATGCTGAATTTTAGAAGTGCTTGTCTCTTCTTTAACAATTTGTTCACTTGCTCTTACGAAAATGGTCTTATTGGTGCTTGGTTTTGAAAATTTAGAATATCCCAATCCACTTTTATCATTAGGATACCTTTGATGTTTAAGAATTTCTTCCAAGCCAATTTGACCTTTTTCGTATCTTTCTAAAACTCTTTTAAGTTGAACAATTTGAAAAGACAAAGACTCACAATTATTACATACAAGACTTTGTTTTTCATCCATCACTTTTTGTTTTTCATCTTCAATATTTTTCAAGAAGGCAGAATTTTGTTTTTCTAAAAGTAAAATTCTTTTCTTTTGTGATGAGATGTCTTTATACAAAGTCTTGCACTCTTTTAGAAGTTCATCTATAACTTCTTGTGCATCATTATCATAGACAGAGAAATTACTACTAACCTCATTTTCGTCATCGGAATGGTGAGAGGCCATTAAAGCCATATTTGCGCATTCATCGCTATTTGATTCCGATGATGAACTCCCTTCGTTGTCGTCCCATGCGACATAAGCCTTCTTCGTTTTGAAATCCTTCTTGCCTTTGAATTTTCCTTTATTTGCGAGTTTCGGGCAATCTGGCTTTATGTGACCTTGTTTCCCACATTCGTAACATGTAATTTCTTGGTTTGATGTGGGTGCCTCCTTTTTCCTGAAATGTCTATTCTTTTTAGAAAAAGAAGAAATTTTATTATTATTAAAAAACTTACCAAGCTTCTTTACTAGAAGCATGAAATTTTCGTCTTCGGAAGATTCATCATTTTTATCATCCATTGTGTCAATCTTCAAGGCAATTCCTTTGCACTTCTTGTCTTGACTTTCATGTTTCTCAAGCCTTCCAAGTTCCAGTTCATGCTCTTGAAGTTTCCCGAATAAGGAAGCGGATGTCATTGTTGAAAGACTCTTCTTTTCCGAAATGGCGGTCACCTTCGGTTGCCATTCTCTTGTCAAGAATCTTAGGACTTTTAAGTTGAGATCATCATTGGTGAAGGTCTTCCCGAGAGCAATAAGATGATTTGTTAGATGAACGAACCTTTTTTGCAAGGCAACAATGGATTCACCGGGCTGCATACGGAACATCTCATATTCTTGACTTAACGTGTTAAGTCTTGATCTTTTTACTTCTGCTGTTCCTTCATGCGTTTCTACCAAGGTATCCCAAATCTGTTTGCCGATTGACACTGTGATATGCGGAAGAATTCGTCCATACTGAGAGCGCTTTGAAGTATGTTGATTGCTTTCTTCTCATTCAAAATTCTCTTTTTGTCATCTTCATCATATGAGGATTTTATCTTTGGAGTTCCAACACCATTTACCACACTTGTAGGGACATGTGGACCAGTTTCTACGGTTTCCCATATACCATCTCCTTGAGCCTCAAGATGTGCCTTCATACGGATTTTCCAAAAGTCGAAGTATTCTCCAGAAAAGAGTGGTGGCTTGTTACTACTTCCACCATCTTTGAAAACCGGGTTAGTACTAGCGGAAGCCATTAGGATCGATAGGAACAGGTTACCTTAACCTGCTCTGATGCCAATTGTAAGTACAGAGTATGCCTAAGAGGGGGGGGGGGTGTGAATTAGGACTTTAGAACTTTTTCCGGTTTTTATGGTTTCTTGAAATTTTATTGGTTTGTGTTCTTGGTTATGAAAGCAGTAGAAAGTAAAAGGACAGTGGATACCAAGATTTATAGTGGTTCCCCTCACAATCCGAGAGTACTCCACTCCCCTTTCAACACGAAAGAGAGTTTTCACTATTGTTTAATAAAGTACAACCTATCACACCATCAATCGGTGAGGCCTACTATCAAACAATAAAAATCAACAAGTGTACAAGAACAATCCTCTTGTAAACACTCACCCTTGTGTCCAACAATCCTGGATCACAAGTCAGAATACAAATACTTGTAATGATTTTGTTTTGTGAATAATAATATCAATGTCAAAATTGATCTTCTCCAAATGATCAAAATTCACTCTTATAATTTTCAACACAAGTGTTCAACAGATGAATATGAAACTTTTATGCAATTATGAACACTTAGAAAGGATTTTGAAAATGGTGAATTTGATTCTAAGAATATTTGAAAATGAATGTTGGAGGTTTTTTTCAAAATTGAAAAACTCAGAATTTATATGTGTAAACATACCTTTTCCAACAGGTATATTTGAGTACATTTCAAAATATGAACTGGTATAATTTTCAAACCATTTTTGAACTTGAAACAAAGCCATTTTTCAAAATACGTTCAGTGTTAATCGGTTAACCTATATGGTTAATCGGTTAACACTTGAACGTTATATCAAAATATTCAAAATTTGAAATGGTTAACCGGTTAACCTATATGGTTAATCGGTTAACACTACTATTTTTCAGAAAAATACTTATAAAAATAGTGTTATACCAATTCTAATAGTTTAAAAAAATGCTAATGCAATGTGATCAAATGATAAATATGTTGAACACTTGTATATCAATTAAATTAATGAATTTTGATATACCATAGCTTGTGTCCAAAACTTGACAGTTGATCAGTCAAATGTTCATGAAGCTTTGAATGTTGATCACTTCCATTCCACTTGATCTTGGTCTTTTGAAAGCATTTGCCTTTTTGCACAGATGAATTATTCTTGATCTTGATGTTGACGTCATCAAAACTTTGAGATGAAACTTGCTTCTACAATTACTTTTACTGAGCGCGGGGAAAGATTTTACAAATTTGTCTATATAAAAGCTCAACACGATAATTCACATTTTCACTAAAGCTAATTCATTATGTCTCTAAACTTCATTTTTCATTGTTGTCGTGTTGTTGTATCATAGACCATTAGACTTTGAAGATGCTAAAATAATATATTAAAAAATCTTTGTTGGAAGATTAATGTCAAGTTTCACTTTATTGAAAACGATATGTTTGAACCTTAACATTGATCTTCAATGGCAAATTTCTTTAGTAAAAATGAATAAAGATAAAAATGTCAAGTTTCATTTTATCAAATAAATGGTATGCTTTAATCTTGAGATTGATCTTCAACGCCAATAAAAATTAATGAAAAACTAAATTGTCAGCGATGTGATTCAAAGCATATACCTGAGAGAGACATTTCTCCTCGGTTGGAAAAAATGACCATAGTAAATGCTATTTAATTTTAATTTATAAAAAAAAAACATCTCTCATTTCTCTCACTAACAAAAGTGAAATGTATCTTGAAAGTTAAAAAAAAAGAAGTTTATACATGAATATATTTTACCACAGTAGATACTATGACCGAGGTATAGAGCACCACTGAAACAAACCATTGAATCTGACTTTCAACGACATGTTTCCGATCCAGGTTGACTGTCAGAATGCCGCATCGATACCTTCACCCACAGAGCAGGCCGTGAAGTTACAGAAGTTGGCATGAGAGTTTAGAGACGCATTGGTCATCATATCCTTCATCCACAGCGAATTAGATTTCAACCTATCAACGTCGGAGTAAGTTTGCGTCTTAATGCTGAGGTTACCATATCTGTTAGTAAGGGTGTTCCTCCATATTTCATTGTCGCCAGTTTGGAATCTCCAAAGCCACTTTGCCAACAACGCACTGTTGAATCGACCCACATGCTTAATACCCAGACCGCCATGTTCCTTAGATTTACAAACAGAATTCCAAGAAACCCAAGGGATAAATGAATTGCTCGAGTTCCCAGCCCATAAGAACCGTCGTTGAATCGCTATTAAATTCTTCACGACCTTATGGGGAGCTTTGAAGAAAGCCAGATAATGGATAAGCAGATTTGCAAGAACCGAATTAATGAGTATGACTCTGCCCCCCATAGACAAGTTTCTCCCATTCCAGTTAGATAATTTATTCTTCAAACACTACAGAACCGACTTCCAGAAAGAGTATCAATGATGATTGCCTCCAACAGTTATACCAAGGAAGCTAAAAGGTAACTTTCCCGATTTACAGTGTAGAAAATCTTCAGCAGCCACTAAAAAGTCAGGTTCTACATGAATCCCAAACAAACAACTTTTGGAATAGTTGGTTTTGAGACCTAAAATTAACTCGAAGGCCCTAAGAATAGCCTTGAAAGCCCAAATATTAGACGCCGACCCATCTCCGATGAGTAGAGTGTCATCAGCAAATTGGAGAATACTCACTGTTGGTTGACCATGAATCATGAATTGGGAAATAATATTACCGGCAACCGCTGATTTCACCAAGCTCGACAACCCTTCTGCAGCTATACCGAATAGGAAAGGAGCGAGAGGGTCACCCTGTTTCAGCCCTCTGCTAGCCCTAAAGTCCTTCGAAGGACTGCCATTGATAAGAATGGAAACAAAGCTATTGAAAACAGAACCACAGATCCATTTCATCCACTTAGATTCGAACCCCATCTTTACAAGTAGAGCATCAAGATAGAGCCAATCCATACAATCATAAGCTTTAGCAAAATCTACTTTGAAGAAAAAACAATCTTTATTGAATCTCTTTGCAAAATCAGCCACCTCATTAGCCAACAGAGCACTATCGTAGATCTGCTGTTCCGGGATGAAAGCAGTTTGAGAGGGAGAAATAATTTTATGAATAACCTTCCTGAGCCTGCACACGAGCATCTTTGATATAACCTTCAGCACACAACTGGCAAGGCTAATCGGTTTAAAGTCTTCGAGTTGTTGGGGATTTTTAGTCTTCGGGACAAGCGAGATAAAAGAAGAAGCGAAGGATTTCGGAAGATAACCAGTTTTGAAGAATTCCAAGATGCAATTCGAAAAATCGACGTCCAGAATCTCCCAGCAAGAATTTATGAATTTGAAATTGAAACCATCGGTACCTGGGCATTTATTACCGTTAGAGCTGAAAACAGCAGATCTGACTTCTGCAGGACAAAAATCAGCTTCCAACCATATCCTGTCTTCCTCATCTAAGCAAACAATATGATCAAAGTCGATCGAAAACTTTGGTGATGATTTAGTCTTGTATCTCTCCTTAAAGTACTTCACAGCTTCACATTTAATGACTTCAGGATCTTCCTCTATCCCTTCTCCCACTTTGATAGCAGATATGCAATTCGAACGATATCTAGATTTTAAAGAATCATGGAACAACTTGGAATTTTGATCCCCATCTTGAAGCCACTTTAAACGGGAATTTTGAGCCAACATGCTTTCTTTTAACCTGAGATTCTTCCATATATCCTCCTGATTTCTCAATCTTTCCTTGATCAAAACTTCGTTGTTGGATGTAGAAATCAATTCGCTATCCAGCTCTAACGAATTAAGGTTAGAAACATTGTCTTCTATCTTTAAGTCTAGCCAACCGAAAACATTACGGTTCCAGCTCCGAAGGTCGCTTTTAAAAGAAGACAGCTTCTTTATCAGAATGTTACTGTAGGAGCCTGACACATGGTAGGAGTTCCACGACTGCTTAACAAACAGGATGAAATCCTTATGAGAAAACCAACAGTTGAAGGATCTAAAAGGTTTTGGCCCCCAGTTCACATAATTCGACTTCAACCACACAAGCCTGTGGTCGGAAATATCTCTATCGCCCACCAATTGGTTTAACAGAGAAAGCATGGATATTGCAGTATCATCCACCAAAAACCTGTCCATTGTTACTATTAACAACCATGCTGATATTTAAACCATTTCACCACGATTACTTTTACTGAGCACGGGGAAAGATTTTACAAATTTGTCTATATAAAAGCTCAACACGGTAATTCACATTTTCACTAAACCTAATTCATTATGTCTCTAAACTTCATTTTTCATTGTTGTTGTGTTGTTGTATCATAGACCATTAGACTTTGAAGATGCTAAAATAATATATTAAAAAATCTTTGTTGGAAGATTAATGTCAAGTTTCACTTTATTGAAAACGATATGTTTGAACCTTAACATTGATCTTCAATGGCAAATTTTTTTAGTAAAAATGAATAAAGATAAAAATGTCAAGTTTCATTTTATCAAATAAATGGTTGGTTTGAATCTTGAGATTGATCTTCAACGCCAATAAAAATTAATGAAAAACTAAATTGTCAGCGATGTGATTCAAAGCATGTACCTGAGAGAGACATTTCTCCTCGGTTGGAAAAAATGACCATAGTGAAATGCTATTTAATTTTAATTTATAAAAAAAAACATCTCACATTTTCTCTCACTAACAAAAGTGAAATATATCTTAAAAGTTAAAAAAAAAAGAAGTATATACATGAATATATTTTACCACAGTAGATACTATGACCGAGGTATAAATTCGTTACGAAATTTACCTTTTACAATATTGACTTTCATTCAAAATACAAATGAATTATATTCATTTGAACTTCAAAGTAAACCTTTCAAGTAAGAATCCAATAAAAATCCAAATCAAACATTAGAAGTAATTTATTAGAAGTGGAACTATTCATGGTAAATACTATTTAAAGGAGGAATGCAATGTTGTTCATATAGCTCAAATAATATTAATGCAACGCATTAATTTATAACTTACATTCATGCTTGCACTGTGGAACATGCGATAGTAGAAAAAGAAGACAAATAATGACAACAAAAGGACAAGTGTTTCATTGTTGCTGCATGATATCTTTTCAACAACTCTCTCTTACATATTCTTTCTCCAAATCCTCAAAAGTGTTTGTTATTACACCATATGAATTTATTTCAGAATCATGCACTTTCTCCCCATTTTCTTTATTTTTTTCCATGATATCTTGGATGAACAAAGTAACATTAGAGTTAGAAGATCCTCCTTTCTCTACTGCCTTTTTAGCCATCTCACCATACTCTCTTATCCTTTTTCTTCTTTCTTCCCTTTCATTTGTCTCATTCATTAACTTCTCTATTCCTCTTTCAATATCTTCCTTCTTCACCAATACACTTGTTTCCTCTTCCTCACCCCATCTCATTGGACTCTTCACTCCAATTTTCACACCTACTTTTAATATTTGCACAATCAATATTTCATTCAAAAATTGATCTGCAAAAAGTGGCCATGTAACCATTGGTACACCAGCACATATTGCCTCTATGGTAGAATTCCAACCACAATGTGTTAGAAATCCTCCAACTGAAGGATGTGACAATATCAACAACTGAGGAGCCCAACCCTTAATTATTAGCCCTCTACCATTGATTCTACCCTCAAATCCACTTTCCTCAGTCCATTTTTCCAGTTCTTCTAATTGATTTCCTTCTCTTATAACCCAAATGAAAGGTCTTTTTGTTGCTTCTAATGCTAAACCTAGCTCTATCAATTGCGGTGGTGTTACATTGCATAAAGTTCCAAGACATGCATAAATAACACTCTCTTGCTTCTGAGAATCAAGCCACTTGAGATGAATCCATTCATCAACAGAAACATTCTTATTATTATGACCTCTTTGAACTTTATCCAAACTATCAGTGTTACTTAGTGATACAGGTCCAATACACCAAACTTTGTCATTGTTTACCTTCTTATAATCCTTTGCAAATGCTGGTTCTAACTCCTCAAAAGAGTTCACAATTTTTCCATACGAACCCATTTCAGCTTCAAGCATATCAATATTAAACTGGTCCCAAGCTTCACCCTTTAATCCTAGTCCTGTTTGTGCTAAATTTATTACAATTTTTTCAGAAACACCAGGCAAATCAAAGTACTCATATTCGTTATTAGCCATGGTTTGTGTCATATTACTAACATATAAATTATGCAGAGACAAGAGATATAAGCAACTTACTCCAACAAACGAAATTCTTGGAATATTGTAGTTTCTAGCTATGTGGATAGTATAAGGTAAACACATATCAGAGATTATGCAACTTGGTCGCGGTGTTAACTCTTCAAATATTTTCTCAGCCTCTTGTTGTAGAAACTTTGATGAATTGAAGAAATCTGATGCTGCACCGAGTGAAGTTAGCATGTCAAGATTTTCACAGCCTTCTGGTAATCCAGACTCTTTGGAAGGAAATCGAAGTTGGATTAAATGAATCTGTAAGCCAGATTGAAGAAAACGTTGAAAGATTGAGGAGAAACGAGATGCATTTTGTGGAGTTGTTAATACTGTAACAACAATATTGTGATGTTGTGCTAATATTTTAGCAATGTCCATCATAGGGATCATGTGACCTTGTGCCATCATTGGAAACAACACAAAGTGAAGCTTTTGATCTTCTGATGCCATGGTTGAAACTTGGAAGGGTTAATGATTGGTAAGGTATGTAAGCGCTTATATATATTTATTTATTTTCTTCCTTTCATTTTTTATGAAGTTATGTAAGCGCTTACATATACAAAAGTTGGATTATTTGAAACGTGTTAGTTTTATATATTTGTCTATTTCATGTAACATTTTTACTATATAGGTAGCATCGCCGAACATAGTTTCTATACAATTGGAGGTGTCTTTTACTGGAAATAAACAAGAAATAGTTTGGAGACGCCGGTGTAGTTAAGTAGTATTAATAGCCCCACTGCATTGTTTACATCACAACAAGTCCTCCATATACAAGGCAAAAAAAACATTGATTCACTAAAGATTTGAAAACATAAAGTGAGAGCATAATTTGTCAATTTCAAAGTATTAAATATTTGGATAATATCATATCTATTGTATTATGAATTTAATTGATATACACGAACAATGAAAAGATTTTTTACACTGTAAGTTAATCACAACTGTTAATTTGTTTAAAAAGTTCGACTTTAAATTTAACCACTTGAAAAATAATACCAATAGAAGATTGTGATGTATTAATAGTGTAAAACTTTTTACATAAACGGTGTATAACAATTAATCTCTTATAATATAATCTAAGCCACATGGTATTTTGATGACAATTCATTC